TTACACGTGCGGAGTCGAACTCGCAAACTGCAACAGACTGCAACACGACAACGCTGTTACTTCCCATTACACTACATCATACCCGCCAGTATCGAAGTTGTAAGAATTCAGGACAAGGCTACTTATTTTAAAATACGATCTATAAATAACATATACATCTGCTTGCTGCTTTCAGCGTTCTCTATGCATCGCGTGATAATGCTCAGGAGGATGAAAAGAAAGCACTGGTGGCGAGTGGACTGAATTCGGTGATCAATTATGAACTGGGCAATATTGGTAAAGATAACAAAATTTGCCATCATGCGGAGGGGAACGTGGCTGGATGTGTCCATGAAATTTTGTCCGATGTTGTACTCTTCCATACAACAAATGATGTGCCGGCTATGTGGGAGGTTATCGTTCTGGAATTTCTAGTTAAAAAAAAATTCGATTAAGTTAAATAAATCCAAGTTTTCATACCGCGTTTCAGCGCTACACGAGAAGTAAGATGAAGTAATGTCACTGCTAAGTCAACTGTTAGGAAAAATCACTGGTAAGCCAACTGTTAGGAATAACCACGGATACTAGGATTGCTTGAGCAGCTCCTGCGTGGCACACATGTTACTAGGATGCTCGAACACGTCGGGCGCGCCTATGCCAAGCCCTTCGATTCTGAGCTATACATTTCCAGTTGGGGCCCATGGCCTGTTCGTTTTATGTGCACCACCACTAAGAAGCCTCCCGAGTGGTCGTTAACTTCCTCTGAATATCACTTGCTATCAAGCTACGTCTATTGATTGTCGGCAAGGTGAGCAGTATGTCATGCTCATCAAATTTTACTTTCAAACGGCTGCAAAGATTTCCTAAACGCTGTTCATTTGCTGCAATATCCGATTGCTGATATGATCACACCAAACATCTTTCGTTTCATCATTTTCTCCACCACAGCCAGTGCTCGCTCTTCAACTTTCGTCAATGAGTTGCGTCTCAGATCAGTACTTACTGCCTTCAGCATAGTGGTGTTGGAGAGATGAGCACGGAATTTAAAAGAATTCAAATGTTTACTTGAATGCTTGAGCAGCTGTTTGCCATCGACGTTCTACATCGAATTCAAAAAAAAAAAAGAATTCAAATGAAATGAAAGTAAAGTCAAAGGCTGTTGAATATGAAGATTTGTTCGGGATGAAGTATTTGAATGCACAGTTGTATCTGAATCAACAATTGGACAAATTTTCCGATTCGTCTGTGGACAGTTTTTCATTGCAGTTTGGTAATCCGCACTTGTCCAGGATTGCTTCTCGTGTTCAGTCACAGCAGCAAGCTGAATTGCTAACAATGGTACAGTTGTTGCTACCGGGCACTAACAGTATATATTATGGTGAAGAAATTGGAATGCTCGATTTGCCGCCAGAGCAACTGACACATAATACAGTATGCTATCCCTTTGTATTCCTCCCTATAAGCTATCACTTATTAATTGGCGCACTTTTGGCTGATGCAGCAATTAGCTTGCTTCTGAAATTTGGACTTTTTATTGGTCAAAAGATTCACACACACAAATTAGTTGCATATAAATGAGAACTGTAAAAAGCGATATACAAGCGCATGCG